AAAAAAAAAAAAAAAAACGAGCATATGAACAGTTATTACAAATAATTATAACCGTAAATCTCGGGTTAAAACCAATGTTTATAACATACGACTTCGAACAACCGACTATTAAGATCTCCAAAATATATTTCCCGGGGTTAAAATACTTGCTTGCCTATTTTACCTTACAAGAAATTTTAGGTTGAATAAATATGTGAATCAGATTTAATATCTATGTACAACAATTATGGTGATTTTTCTATAGCAGTTAAAATGGTTTTAGTATTGGCATTTGTTAAAATTGATGATTTAGTTACAGCAATAGAGGCACTAACTGAAGATATATCTCCAAAGGTGTTCCTTCTTTTACATTGGTTGTGTAATATTATGTTGGTGGAACAATAAGAAATTGATGGCGCTTTTTTACTTCTGTTTTGTGGAATGTTCATGATTAAATATTAAATAAAGGAGATGGAACAAATAACCATGTCAAAGCAGCCAATAGACGACTGAATCTACAAATGGGCGTACAACATACAATATTGTGGACATTTATTATAAATTTGAGAAACGTTCAGTTAGGATGTAATACATTTTATCAACAGCTGGAAGCTGTAAATAGTCCTCGGAAAAAGAAAAAAAAATAATGATGTCGACAAAATTTTTTTTAAAATTGTAGAGGATTACAACAACCATAACATTATTAGTTTTTTTAAGAGGCACAGCTATAAATAAAAGTTCTCATTAAATTGTATTATGTTTTATTATATATATATATATATATATATATATATATATTATTTTTAATTTTATTTATAGAAATATAAAGATTGTAACACATATTATTGTTAAATATACGCCAAAATAGCAACACCCTAAAATACCCAAACGGCAAAATTGCCATACGCTAGCCAAATTGATTTACACCAAAACGGCCACACTAATAGATCCTAGATTATACGTTCCCCGTGTTGCTGACGATTAAAATTTATGAAAAATTGATTGCGTCCATAAATACGAATTTAATTAAAATATTTCAAAAATGAAGTTATGTCGACATAATATTAATATAAATACTCAATAAATGTTTTGAGTACCTGAGTATAATATATTTAGAACCAAATAACCAGATACACATATAAAAATTTGTTGAATTACTATATTTCTTAAAAATTTGACTTTCCAACGCTTAAATAACATTTGACAACTTTTAAATGGATATTTTATTGTTATTTCTTTTTCGGCTATAAAAAAAATCTTACGAAAATATCTAATTTTCAATTTTCAAGCCTATAATATTAAAATTGAATTATAAACTTTTAACTACAAAAATGTGGCAGATTTTCATGATTATTGTCGATTTTGTCAACACTTACTAAATAAATGTACATAAAATTTATTTTTAAACTAAGCTTTAAATTTTTAAATATTTAACCAAATAAATAAACCAAATTAATAACTCTGAATAATATTTTCAAGACTTTTTATCAGGCCAAAATAAATTTATCGACTTTTTATGAAAATAAAGGTAAGATATTAATATATAATATTCATATATTCATGAATAGCTAAAAAAAAAAAAAAAAAAATCAAAATATTTTGATAATAATACCATTTATAGCAAATATAAGCATAAAGTGATACGCAGTAGAAACTTGATCAACCACCACTGTCAGGACTGGGACAAATATTACAGCTAATCTAAAAGGCTGTTAACAGAAATTTTTCAATAAACTTATATATTTTTTTTTGTTTGTGTTTTCAGAAAAAATAGATATATACTATGTACATATATATTTACTACATATTACTTATCATTCTAAACTAAAACTAATAATTTTAAATAAAACAGTCTGTTATTTTCTATTATATTTTTGACGCTCGAGCTTTTCTAGCTGCAATATTTCGTATTTTACGTAGACATAAAACCGGATTATAAAATTAAATTAAAAATAATTCAATTTGTTCATTCACGTCACGTTTATCGCATATGTTGGATATTAGAAAACCCTTTTATATATTTGATTGTCGCCGCAATGAGTTTATTTATTAAGTTGGCTCATTTACGATAGCGATGACGGATAACAGGGAGTAACGGTTAATCGAGTTGATGTATGTCGAATTAATATGAATGTATGGTGAAAAATTCCACGACTGATAATTGTTTTTTGAGTTTTGAAGAAAAAATAAAATCAATCTCGTCATCAATCGTAATTTTTGTCTTTAGAAGGACCAACCATATGAAATTCCCTATCAGAAATTAGCCACTGTCAACCAGAGCAACTTTTCCGTTTGAATTCTTGTACATTGCGTGTGGAATTAAAAAAAAAACACGTAAATCGCACGGCTATCGCCATTACAGCACATTCGTTACATTGGGGCCGTGAAAAACCGATCAGTACTTACCGAGGGACGGTTGCAGGAGCACTGCAGCCACTGCGAACACGATCAGCACCGACAGTCTCGGGGCGGTCATCTTGGCGTAGTTTGCCGTGGTAACTTCGGAAGTGACTGGTATGTCGGATCTGGCACCACGCAATATTGTAACAACGAAACAACACGAAACTGAGTCGCGGATACGATGCGTAAGTAACGGTTGTGTTGCCTGATGGGCCGCGCGCCCCGGTCTTTTATAGCACGTCGCGACAAAGATAAGTGCGTCCGATCGATTTCTGTTTCCGGTCGCGGCGGGGAAATCGCACACGACCGACCGACGAGCTTACGAATCACTCCCGACCTCGACCCACCGGAAACGCGGGCGCGCGACGTTATCGGAAAACCGATTTATAAGTACTCGCATCGAGTCGGTGGTACGTGCATACCGTGTTAGCGACGTGGTGCGACGTCGTGCGCGTACGATAAAACATTGTCTTCATTTTCATTGTTGTAATTGTTGTCATTGTAATCACACCCTTTATCGTCGAAACGTTTTGCAGTTACAGCCGATAATTACGGCCATGTCGTCGCCGTGGAAAAATCTTGCACTTGTTCTCCTGTTCGCGTTCCTCGTCAAGGGTAAGTCGAACCAAGCTGCCGTAGGTGTATTTTGAATCGACACGCCCTATCGATGCGATAAAGTGATTTCTATGCGATTCGGTCGATTGTCCCACATGATGTTATGGGGGAGTCGAACCGCGTTTTAATGGTCGATTGTTCGTTTTTTCTATGAGTAGGATCCGTTTTTTGTCCGTCTCATATTTTTTATCATGAACGATAAAACGCTTGGAAAACGCGTGTAACGTTCTCTCCGCCAAACGTTCTGATTACGAGAATAACAATAGGTGTAGTACGTCCTCGTACACCGCGTACTTTTCCAGCGGAAACCGTTGACATAGAATGTGATGCACTGTCGAATTTCGTGCGCGTCTGTTGTACCCGTTCATTTCGCACTCCTAACGGACGTACCGCGATCGCTATCGAAATAGCATTCGACGGAAACACCCCGGATCGACGAGTCCAAACTGCGGAATATTACTTAACAGGACGTCATTGATCAGTACACAATTCAGTCGTGAATCGTTCTGAATCGTACGAAAAATGTTCAAACTCACGACGGTTACGATGTCGTTTGTGTGTGTCGCAATTCTATCAAGTCAAATAAGTAAACTACCGTTGTTGAAAATATTTAATTACATATCATTTATCCATAATGCACGATTTGAAACGATTTCCATTTACAGTTTTCTTCGATCAGTGCGCATGGGACGGACTATATAGGATTACATATTATTATTAAGTTGAATCGTGTAAATATAATAATAGTATATAATAATTTTGTTTTTTTCAGAGGCGTTTTACGTGGACGCCGCTCCTACGGTCACAACAAACGAGATGGACGTAAGTGACATTTACTATACTAATTATTTTCCATTATACGCTCAATAATATGAGAAGTTGTGAAACAAATGAGTTCAAAATGTGTAGTGGCGCCCACAGGTTAGATTCCATGAACCAGTGCTGTTATAATTATAAGGCCACCGAATTTATTTTGGTTTACATCCATATGACCATAATCGTTTGATTGAAAACATTTTTTTTTCGAATACATGTTTATCTTAAATAAATTTAAAAATATTGCAAATTCCTGTCAACATTTTTTAATAGAGGTTTGCATTTATACTTTTACAAAAAAAAAAATCTTCACCAATTGGTATTTTTTAGTTTTTCACATATAATAATTTATTGATTATTAAAAATGTAAATAAAACATACATAATATTTTTGATCAGTGATTGATCATTGATTATGTATTGATTTGTTTTACAAAATTTATCTTTTACTTCGTCATAATTTATTTTTATATAGTTGTTACATAAAATAATAACATAATAGCATATAAATCTTGGGGTGGCTTCCTAAGCCCTGACACAAACTACAAACACAATCAACATTATTATAAATACCTATATTAGTAATAATTACTATATAATATAATATATAATATATTATATAATTATTATATATTTATATTTATTTGCATATTTGACACTGTCAACTCATTACATTTTTTTCAACGATCTAAAAGTCCAGATGAATAGTTATGCATTTATAGTGTTTGCTCTAGAGTCCTCAAATATATGTAGGCCCCGAGACTCACGAGAAATCAGTGTAATTGCACCACTTGGTATCCGACGTGGGCGCCACTTAATATGTGTATGCAGCAGTAACTTTAGGATTAGTATTCGTAAACATAGGGATTTTGACCAAATATCATGATACAAACGCAGACAGTAAAATAATTTCGATTGTTTTTCTGATTGTTTTTATTTACAAACACTAGAAGGAAATAGTTACTTTTATTCACGGCATTTTATCGTTCTATAGCGAGTAATTCGTTTAAAAACAATTTGGTACATCCAATAATAAAATAGACTAAAAGTTTTTTGTTTATTATTTAAATTTCTTTTTTTTTGTTCTGTAAGTATTTATGATTTATCCAATTAGATAGTACATAATATTATATAATTTATTTTACTATTAAATAAACTTAACTATTATTAATAATAATATATTTTACTGCAAATCTAGCATACACAAATTTGAATTGTTTTATACATTTTTGTCAGAATCTAAACATACATTTTAAATGAAAATATAAACTTTTTAAAAGATAAATTAAAAAAAAAAAAAAAACTCCTACTCCATAATATTAGAAAATTCTGGTTGTTGTCGTTTAATTAAATAAATTGAAATATTATTCTGTTACAATAGAATTCATGAAAATGTTTTAATTCCAAAAGAAGTAAAACATCAAATAATAACTCAATTCAGTGGCGGAACTATGATTTTTTGTAGACTCTATGATATCTGTAATCTGACTTTCTAAACATTAGGTTGTTTATTTCTACATCATAATACCAATTAAATATTCATAGTATATTAATAATTAATATAATTATTATTAAAATAACAATAGTAATAATTTTGTATTTGCAATGAAAATATTTTTTTTCTGCTACGATATTGATAAAATATCTTCACATTAAATTATTCAAATTTTTTTTATGCTCATTTTCTATCGAAATAATCTCAAGCCGCGTTTAAGACACGATGCTTCTGAGATAAATTTTAATGGATTCAAGTTTTGAGAAAGCCCATTCAGCACTTGCTACAGTAACCGGTAATGTAAGAACAAGTCAGGAAAATGACATTATACTCGTATAATGTATTTTTTACTTTTAAAAGCAGTAATCTTAACATTATCATGTTCTGACATCGGATGATTTGCATAAAAGTCCAGTGATCACTAATCGGTATACTTTGTACTATTTCAATATTCCATGATTTTATTTACTTGAACTGATTTTTTTTTTAAACAGTACAGAATTGTACTGCGAGGCCACTTTAACGATGAGGCCCGTGAAAAATTCCGCCTTCAATCATAAGGCTTAACATTTTAATATTACTAAAACTCGTTGTGTAGCAACGATTGAGCAAAAAACTGCAACAACGACGCTTACGGTTTTCATCGCACCATTAATTCGAATGCTGTTCTTAATAATTATAAAATCTAGAGCCTAATGATTTATTGGTGTTGAATAATATTAGTATTCTAACGAACAACTAAAAGTATTCATCAAAAGTACAGGTGATGAAACTGTTGACTTTAAAAAGGGTGCTCATATCGTTGATACTATATTTAGATTGCAATTTTATGCGCACTCAATCGTCTATAGAAGTAGCAAATGGTCGTAGAGTATAATCTCTGTAGTATAGTGACTATAATACGCGCGACGGGTATAACAGTTCTAAACAAATACCCCCCTAGCCACCCCCTCACGACCATCACCGTGTCTTATCGTCGTACAATTTATTTTACATATTGTCGTCGCGTTAATGCATTATGATACCAATGCACAAACGTAGACAATTGAACAACAGCCGAGGGACAATCGAAGGAAAAGGATTTACGGTTTTTTTACTTAGATTATTTTGTATACAAATATTGTATTACCATAAGAAACATATTATATCTACGTGTTAACGGCTTAATCAAACCCTGGACGGTTTACGAAGCAAATTAGTATAATTATGTACACTGTGCCTAGGTCGTAAGTTACAACTTGTAACAATAACGTGTGCGGGCGTGTATTTTGCATATCGTTCGCATTCGTCATGCACTTTTTGGAACAATCGTTGGAAGACGCGAAAAAATAAATAAATAAAAAGTTTAATTAATGACCAAGTGAGATATGTTTTCAATGTAATGACTGATTATTTCACATTGTTTCCGAATGCTATTTTAATGCAATTATATTTTTAACGTACTCGTATTTCAGCAAATTATCATTTACCCGTATATAGAATCTTTAGATGATTTTAGTTATCTTTTCTTCTTTTTAAATTAGTCAAAATCGACGTAGTGATTTAGTAATTATATATTCTTAATACACTCGACTCGGCATTGAACCCGAACTGACTTTTAACATAATACATACAAGTATTATCGTATTTATTATTCGTCTCCTTATTTAGTTTTTCCGATCTTTATGAGATTTATTAATGTAGATTAATTAATCAATTAAAATAATTAGCAAAGAATCGATATACATGTAGATCGTTGTGTTCATCCCTTTCGAGACTTGAACTTGCGACAGATTTATGATATAATTTCAATAATAATTGGTTTACTTATCATTTATATTTCGTTGTATTCTATGAGTAAAAATATGTTTTTTAACGTTTATAGTATTATAATTTGTTTGTTTTATCACTTATTACAATATTATATGCTTTATTATTTAATAAAAAATTAAAGAAATTGATAAAATACAATTTTATCAACGGTAGTTTAATAAGATATTTATTATTACCTTTATTATTTTAGTCAAAGAACGGATACACTTATATTGTATATTAATCTGTAATTTTAAAAAATTATAATATTTTTTAATTTTTTAATCGTAAAATTATATTTTTGTAGATGGATCAAAAATATATTTTAAGATTTTTTTCATACCATTGATAAACACGATACGTTAAAATCAAAAAATTATATTTTTTTTAACATAGAAAATTTGAGAAATGCTTGCACCCAGTATTTTCACTGCATAAGTTCGAGAAAAATGACTACGAGAGAAATTCTAAACAAACAATTAAATTAGATAATACTTTTAGAGTAAGTTATACAAAAATAATAAATTGAATTCTTTTCTACATATTTCTAGCGTATTTAAATTTAAATTAGACTTAAAGTTATTTTAAGTCGGGCAATACTATTAAATGGTAATTCGTTGAATTATCCAATTTCATTATATATATATATATAGATATATTAAAGATATTATTGTTAATTAAACATAAGATTATTATGTAAAAACTGATAGAGACAGATATTAAAAAATTATGAAAGTAGGTATGTATAGATTATATATCCTTTTTAACCGATGTTTTGTTCCCAATAAACGATGTTAAATTGCTAAAAACGAATACATTCGTTCGGGACTCAGCCTATTTGTTCCTATTATACGGATTCGACTGTATACGATTATTAGTGGCGAGGATTTGAATCTAGGTTGAAATTTTAAGTTTTCATTCGTTTTTCTAATTTATTTGGATAACTTTTGATGAATTCCAAAAACTACCACTCCCCAACTAGTAAAAAATGACTAAAAATAACCGATTTACTGCGTTTTGCAACTTAAAAGACATACACGGTGCGTAAAAATTGAATATTATATTTGAACGATGGTTTTTGTTTATTCTCCTACAATTTTCATCAGTCACAAAAACAGATCCCGCAAAAATATTAATACGTCACGCATCTCGGGAGCAATCGTACACCATATGAATATAACACACACACGCGCAAATACTACGGCTAAGAAAAGCATGTGTTAGGGTGATGTTTGTAAACCGTTCGCGAAACCGAAAACGATTTTCGACGCCCATTTTTTAAAAAAATTTTAAATTTTTTTTCATCGACCCGAGTGAACGGCATACCGGGAGGTTTCGGTAAGAATAACGAAAAACAACGAATCGAGTATTTTAGTGCGTTGCGAAAGTACGACAAGAGTGCGATTTCGTACTGGTATATTTATTGTTGATTATTTTTCGACCGACCATTCGGTTTCGATGTACTGTTATCGGCTGCAACGTTTTCCGCGTGAAACGTTGTAGCACGAAAAACGTGAACGTTCGTGCACTACTGACGCATGTGGTTTGTGTGTTGGCCACCCGCTGCAAACAGGTGTTACCGGACTCGGTGGTCGAGCTGGTGGGCTCCGACGCGTTCGAGCGGATCTGGCGGAAGGCTGCGGCCGACCAGATGGCCGCGCGGTTCGGCCGCGACGGCGGCGGTGGTCAGTTGCCCACGCGCAACATGGTCGGCGACTACATCGCGTCGGACGAGTTCCATCAGGCCGTGTGCAAGGGCGGTGGCCAGGGCTTGGCGTCCATGGGCGGCATGATGGGCAACGCGCCGCCACCGTGGTCTTACATGGGCACGTTCATCGGGTCGGAGAAGTTCCAGCACGGCACGTGCGACATGATGTCCCAAGGCATGATTCAGTTTGGGGAGGGCATGAACGGGTGGTTCCGGTCGGCCGGCACTGCGGGGCCGGCCCAGCCCGGCCGGGCTGCGGCCGAGCCGCAGGACCCGTTGCTGGCGGTCGACGAGTTCTTCAGGTCCGAGCAGTACCGCGATGCCCGCGATCAGCTGCGCAAAATGTATTCGGACGTGCGGTTCTGATGGTCCGCGACTCCATTCGCCCGTGTTTTTTGTTTTATTTTGTTAAGATCATTATTATATTGTTATTATTACTTTACCCATCCCCACCCAAACCTTGCCTGTTTTATCGACGACCGTTAATCGTTTTTACAAAAATTTGTCCGTGCACCGCTCACGATTTGCTCGCGAGAACAAAATGTGTCTTCACTCATGTGTTTTCGTTCCGACGTTTGTTGTACGGTTTTTATTTTACGCGTACCCTATTTGTTTGCCACTGTCGCGTGTCACACATTATTGTAATCGTACCGGTCATGCGCGCACAAAAACGGTACGCCTAATGGTGTAACGGTATACGGTTTTCGATTGTTATTCCGCTGTACGCACGGGACCACCTGCGTTGAAAGACGAGCGAATTTGAAACGTTACGCTCACGAAACTTGCACTGGATCGCTCAATACTTTTGTCCGTTTTTTTTTTCCATTTGAGATCGTTGAATTCTGTTGATGAAGATTAAAACGAAAAGAGTAATAATTGTGTGGTGAATAAACGATCGATAACAATTTTAATTAACGTAAATCGAAACACACTGGATTTCTCGCTTTTTTTGTTCCGACAGTTACAGTTTTATTTCAGTGACTCTTCGGTCTACTCGCTAACATAAAATATTAAAAAAAAAATATATAATAATAATAATAATGCAAAGTATTTGAATATTAATAAATATAGCGAAATAGAATAAATCATATACAAATTGTATACCATTGTGTAAAATAATTCTTTACGCCGTACATAATGTACGCCACGTATAATAAGATATTAAACATTTATGTTATACAAATTTACATCACTAGGTATACCTATTAATATTAATATTATTATTATTATTATTATTATTATTATTATTATTATTATTTTTGTTATATTTATTTTGACCGGATTTCAACGGTAAACATATGTACGTGATCATTTTTACACATTTTTTGATATTGTGAAAAAAAAGGGTTTTTTTTATTTATATATTATATTGAATTATTATAGCAAAGATATGGATTAAATTAGCTAATATTTAAAATGTATTATACACGGAAAAATATTTATTATAAATAATTAATATGGACGCAAGCTTTGTACTTATATATATTAAAGATTTATGTAATCGAATACTTTTTTTTTATTATTTTTGTTTATACTATTTATCATCAATTGGATTTTTAAATTAAGTATTATATTCACGTGGGATGATCAAAAAACGAACAATATCACACGTTCGTAATCTTTATCGCCCCCTTAATAGATTTATTAAGAATGTGTTTACACTAAATGGCCATTGCCTGTCCTATTATGAAAAGTTTGATTAACAAAAACTCGTTCGAGGTCGTTATTCGCTTTAAGCACGATGAGCATTCAAGTCTCCGATGCACAACTAATTGCATGATTGCACGTCTATTTTCTTGAAATATCTAACAGAGATCCCTACATTAAAAAATTTCATTTGTTTTTCATTCATTTTTATACATTATTAACAGTAACTAACACTCAAATCGGACATACCTGTTAGTATTTTTATATAGTCGACCAGCGATATTTGTAGCATCAATATATATATATATATATATATTATATATTATATATTTATATATATATATATTTATATATTGTATATATTAATATATAATAATCAATATATCTATCTAATTATCAAATCTTGCATTATTGCATACAGGTTTTAAATTCATTTTCATTAGTTATAGTTTTATAATGGTGTTAAAAAAAAAAGAAACGTGCAATAATTTATTTAGAAGTTTATAAATCGTTTTGAAATCTTACAATTTATTTTTACCATAAACTATTCCTGGTACATTATAAACATACAAACTAAGAACTACAATTATGTATTCAATCCGGGGGAACCTCACACTTATACTTAGGGGAATACGATATAAAGCATTTGTCCATACGAGATATAATTATATTATAAACTAACATAATTAGTTAAAGATTATCTGATAGTCACGTTTCCACCCTAGACATCTATTACCGTATAAATACTCCTTTCAGATCAAATGATTAAACAGTACTATACATATACACTAGGGTGGTCCTTATTTTTTTTTTTTTTAATACATATTATTCCGTACCCCATAGATTTGTTAAGTTATATAAGAAAGTAATTTTGATAACATTTGGTAGATGTGAAACAACATCTTCTGATGCCGAATCAAGATTGAAATAAGGCAACTTAGGGCAGTTTTCTTGTTTTTTTTGGTTTTATTCTAAAAGTATAGCAATTAGCATAAAAATGTATTGCAACTTATTTATACAATTTATTAATGCCTAAAAAAAAGTATATTACAAAATTTTCATTATTTTCTAGAAAAAACTTTAAAAACAAAAAAAAAATATAATTTTTTTTTTTTGTTGTTTGAATATAATTTACAAATGGTTAAAATTATGATAAAATATCTTAAATCAATACTGTAATAAATTTAATTCTTTAAGAAAAACCGTAATTTGTATTATATTTCTTCATTTGATTAAATTTTTTATCCTAACAGTCTAATTTATATCAATACCTAACTATTAAAACGATATTTCAGACGCCATGAATTCTCATTAGATTATAAATAAATTGTTTCGTAGCCAGTTTTTTGGATGGCGATAAACCATCACAAATTATTTTGATATCTTATAAATATATACTATATCGTAGATTTAAATTTGGTTTCAGATAATAGTAAATTGAACATACGATTATTGTATTTCATCATTATGATTCAATTGTACCACGAACATAGTGTTTAATGTTTAGAATTAGGTACTATTTAAAATATTATGATATAAAATTTTTCTCGTTGGTACAATAAATAATCAAATTACAGGTAGTTAATTACTTTATAAGCGTAACTGTTTAAGTGTCTTAAATCATAATATGCGAAATATTAATTTAAATTTAAACTCAAGTGCTTTGCTAACTACTGATGAATGATTAATGCACTGGAATAAGGCATGGATTCTAACTCAAGATTGTGATAATTTTGCGAAAAAGATAAAAAAAAAAAACTATATTCCGAGTTACAAAATTTAGAAAAAAATAAAACAAAAAATGGAAATATATATCGAATAAGAAAAAAGCAATTTGAAGAAACTTTTGTTTGTTTGATATCACCAATTCAAATGCAATGAATTTATTAATTCTTCTAATTCTAGTATATTGAACGGCTTTATTAGAACAAAAATTAGGAAGAAACGTATTATTTATAGCTTGTCGACATCATATTTTTGAAATAATATTACAAGCCGTTTTTATTGAAGCTAAATTTCCACAACCATTTGGTCCAAATATACTTTTTTTTAAAAGATTTGTTAATAGTTGGTCCATTAATAATAAAAAAAGTGTGGACAGATGATCCCATGAAATGTAATACGAGTATATTAAATACAGTTCGAGATAAAATATTGGATTTTGCAGAAAAAAAACTTAGAGATGATTTCCCTTTTAGTGATTACAAAGAGTTTTTGCAGTTGATTATAATATTTTTTAGAGGAAAACTTAAAGGAAATATTAATTTTTAGTAACCTAGTACTTAAATATAAAAACATTGCTGAAATTGCTCTTGACATTTATTAATCACTTATGGTATCTAAGTGACGAATATGTAACATTCTCAATTTTTGACAATCGTATCTCCTTGGAATAAAAAAAAAAAATAATGGCAATGAAAATTTTAATGAGTGAACACAATAATAATGAGCAAGTAAGAGACATTAAAAAAAAAATATTTATTGAAAATCGATGTATTGATCTGATTTCTCAAAAATATTTGATAGATTTGATATTCAAACTAATCCTTTATCTCTTGATCCTATATACTGTGAAGTAAATGAAGAATATAAAAAAGGAAAAGAAATTATTGGTACATTAAATATTGTCAACAATACTGCCGAACGCTGTGTTAAACTGATGAAATTAAAATGTATATATCGATGGCGTAGTGCCCAAGTAATTGTTCGTAATTATTCTGGAGAACGGTTTTTAAGTTTGAGCTGTTATAACAGTACAAAAATTTAACGAACTACAATGAACTTTTTGTTATATTTTCCTTGTAATGAGAATGAACATGTAATGAGTAATGAGAATTAAAAACCTGCAATTACCACATATGTATTCTTAAAAAAAGTTTAAAAAAAAAAATATTGTACACATTTGGTACACGTAAAAAGTAATACTTAAACACATCACATTTTTCTTCTAATTTCAATAAAGTACAACAATTACTTGAATTATGTTATAATTTCGTTTGTACACAATGTGCGGAATTGTATGATTAAATTGAATATGCACATAACTCATTTTTCAAAAAAAATGTCACTTATCAAACTTGTGCGTTACGCCATCAATATATAAATTATAATAAAATATTATATTTTAAACTGAAGTATATAAATTAATATTCAAAATATATTAATATTTTATGAGCTAAGCAACAATTATTCTCGATTTATCATTATTATTATTATTTAATTATTTTTTTTTTTTTTTTGTGATACAGATAAATTAAACTATTATATCGTAACGGTTACTCTAACAAAACCCTGACAAAATATAATTTTTCAAGAAATTAAATTCAAATTTTATACAATATTTATAAAAGATACTTTATCGTAAATATTTGCGGTTATAAAACCATTTATTAAGTATACTCAAATAAAAGGAAAAAAAATGTTCAAAAAAATTATTTATTTTTTTTTTCGAATTTTTTCTAGAAAATAATGAAAATATGAAAATTTTCGTAATTTACTTTTTTGTAGGCATTAATAAATTGCATAAATAAATGTCAATACATTTTTATGCTTATTGCTATATTTTTTGAATAAAACTAAAAAAACAGTAAAACCACCCTGAATTGCCTTATTTCAACCCTGATTCAGCACCAGAAGGGGTAGATTCACATCTTATAAATTTTACCAAAATTACTTTCTTATGTAACTTAACAAATCTATGGGGTACGGAATAATAATATGTATTAAAAAAAATTTCACTTATATAAATAATATACACGTGTATTTCGTGGGAAAGATATCGATACCGATCTGTACTATAAATTTATTAATCGTAACGATGTTCCAAAGTATTATTATATTACTTTTTTTATGAAGCTCTAAATGTAGAGGTTTTTACTTGAATATTATAAATCATGTGCAACAATAATGTATCTAATATCAAGTTATACTTAATTTTATTATACAGTTACGCGATCGACTCCAAACAAAATGTTGTCGGATTCGGTTGTCTTGCAATATGTTTGTATAAAATATGACGAAAATCGAAAGAAAATTAAAGATAATTAACGCGTTGTTGTCATCTGTTGACGTATACTATCATAACTACGCGTGATAATGTAATACCGCGCGAAGAAAATTTGTAAAAAAAAAAAATACGAACAACACAATATACGCTGTAACGAATCGACATATTGTCTCCCCTTCCCCCCCCTACCAGCGAATTGTATATATATTTTTTTTTAATAACTTTAAAGTAATTTATGATAAATATTAGTAATAACGATTACATGTTCGTTACTTGGCGATCGCGAGTTCGGTGCTTCAACCTAAACAGGAATAATAATGCATTTTACTGTTGTGCACATTTTATAGGGTTATAGAATCGTTGAAAACAACAACCGAGTGTTGGAAATCGAAAACGGTAAAGAAATCGACGATTCCCAACGCTCACCAACGTTCGAAAACTTCATACAAGGGATACACAACATCGATGCGGCCATGGAGGCGATGATCGACAACTACACTGACGGAGTAGAGCACGTGGGAGCGGAAAACGGTTTGGACTCGGGCGAACATTTGATCGATAAAATCCAACGTGGCACCGGTTACCGTTCACGTCCGACTAGTGCCATCGACATTACCATATAACAACAACAGCTAAAATAATAATAATAATAATAATAATGATAATATGCTAATTTGCGTGCATGCCGTTAAAACTATATTATACACGCACCTCGGTGAAATAGTGAGACACGTATTTTTCTTTTCAATTATTTTAATTTATATTTACCAGCGATTTGTTTGTACGTTTTACGCATGCTCGTCCGCGTGACGGACGTGGAGATTTCAATAGACACTGGACGATACTATTTTTAACATATCATTATTATATTTACGTTTTGATGTACGCACATTTAATTGTACACCGCACGATCACACATTATTGCAATGTAATAAAATATTTTATAACACTTGCGGAATTACCTGGACGAGTCCGGGAGATGTTTTTTCTGTTTTGGACAAGATCATAAATCTTAACGTTTTAGCCCAAATAAACCACAAAACCGTCGTTGAAGTCTAATGATATTTAATTTTATTTATTCGTACTATATTGGTGTCCGTAATTTATCCTCTTGATCGGTAATTATTTAAATCAACACATTAAACAAAACGAAATATTAACTAGCTGACCCAAAATGTGAAAAAGGAAACATACAACCCAAACCTATTTCGATCCATATAAATGTGATTTTCGAAAAATCCCTTTTCATTGCTCATGTAGTGCATTAGAATCATGTCTAATTTTCAGTTGGTACATTTTTGAGATGCTAGTGAATTGTATTTGAATTATATATAAAAAATACTTTTTCGACTATTTGTGTTCATTGGTATCAAAATTACTCGACCAATTTTAATGAAATTCTGAACAGAAATTGATTAGACCTATGGAAAAACCTTTTGTCACAACAAAAATTATGTTATAACAATACTTCTTTTGTACTTGCACATAAGAAGGTAGCTATTTCTGATTTAGTTTTCTTTTACAAAGACGGTTTTGACCACATTGATTCTACTCGTATACGGTTGCAGGCTAACATCATAGAAATTGTCTTTAATACTACAGGACTAAAAGAAAAATATTTATTTATTCGAAATTACGTTTACAAATCATTAGACATTTCGTAATACGAGCACCAGTCGATTAAAATGTAAAAAACTTTGAAATATAATCATATAATCGTAGACGAATACTGAGAGTACTATCATGTGAACCCTTCAGACCGTCATGCATGTGTGTTAGAATCATTTGTAATGGAAAAGTCGTAATTTGTATGAACTAGTGTCTAATACACTAATATACTTATAGTATTTAGAATTTAATTATTTTTTTAATTCAACAGTAATGATGGAGATAACAGGAAAGATGGCTTTTTGAAATTTGGAATGGAATTCATACTACAATAGCTCTAATTCGAACAATAAGAATAATGTACTTGAGATTACTGATCAAATATTCACAACTTACGTTTTCAGCATTTATAACAGTTCATCAATTCTAGGACGGTCGTGAGAGTTTAATAACAATCGATGTATTTTTTTTTTATTCATGAATATATCATTAACAAAGATTCGTAGCAAAATCTTGTGCTAATCATTAAAAACATTAACTGTCTAAAATTACTGTACTATTCTCTTGTCACTAATCCTTCAATGTATTTTAACATATTTAGTTTAATACTGTAAAATCTTGTTGTAATAAACATCTTTACTCATTGACAATGGCGGGTGAAGGATTTTGTTTTAAGAGGCGGAGGGAGACCAGTTTTTCATGTCAATCAGTCGATTTACTCGTATTATTATATCATATTAGCAATAACATAATCTAGAAACTATAAACTTGTTCGCAAAATTTTTTTTATTAAATTGCTTTATATGTAATTTTTACAAGGCAATTATTACAAAACTAACCAAGGTCTTAGTCCAATGGGGGGATAGGTCCTTCTGAGGCAAGTCCTTCTATCCCTCCTCTTCAATCCGCCACTGCTTATCATTTCTTTGGAGGGCATTCAAATCTTTCAATAATATACGTATTAATAAATCGATCAAAAACCGTCTGCAGTCTAAACGAGACTGTGGATATATTTAACTCTGAAATATGTGTAAGGTTTTAGGGAGGGGGGAGTTGGAAACAAATATTTTTCCGAGCCTTATGCGGCTAGGGGCTTGTGTACAAGACACGTCGATAAGACATTATTTGAACATTAACACCACGCTGTGTTGTTCGTAAAAATCACTATATGATCGCATGGCCCTCGTGACACGTTGTTTCTAGGAGATGAACCGAGTGACGTCCGCGGTTCAACCGACCTCGATGCAAATCGACCGGCCTTCACGGGCCTTCGACAATCCGACAACCGCACAAAACGATGACAGCGCGCGCCGACTTCTGCTGGCGGACGAGCCATTGGCCAAAGGCCCTTTGTCGGGTATCGTACCCGGTAGCGGAGGCGGCGAACAGTCCACAGCGGTACCGGCCAGCACGTCCACCGCGGCCCCTTCCGGATCGTCGCTTCCGGGCTCGGGATATTTGAGCGGAAGCGGTCTGCCCGGCATTTCGGGATTGTCGCAAGGAGAAGACGGTGGTGGTCAGAACCCGACACTCATCCTTGGAGGGTTTTCTGTGCTCGTGATGCCCATGCGGGGCATGAACATGGCCAACATAGCGTCCATGCTGTCAGCGGGACAACAGTTGGGTCAGATATTTCCTAAGCCCGGCGGCAGCTGAGGCGACCAAGAACCGCCAACGCTGTCAACGGATCGTACCATTACCATTACTGTTACTACTACTACGCTTGAGGCATTATCGCAATCGAAAACTAAACATGTCGTTTCGTCGTGCACATACGAATCCGTATAATAAATCATATATTAAAAATTAAAATAAATCATTGTATAAATCATAAATCACTTATGCTTACATATGCTATATCTATCGTATTACGAAACAAACACACATGTCGTTTTTCGAAACGCAGTCTTAGATTTTAAGTATAATTAATTACAGCGCTTTCCGATGTTCCTGTTAGGTACTACTAAATTATAATATTATTTATATACTAAAAAGAAATTAAAAGTACACAAGATTATACTAAAAATGTCGAAAACGTTATGTTCCATATAAAAAGAAAAAGTTTTCGTTCGTTTGGTTGATGATTAAAAACAACAGCAATATCGATCTGCACCGTTGTACTTTCGCGGTCCAGCTAAATATAGCAGAGAAATGGCGTGTACGTCCTATAATTCGGATCGTTATCGCATATTCTTGCTGATGAAGTCGTGATACTTGGCCACGTCCGTGAACACTACGTAATGTTTGGTGTCACACACCCGTTGTCCTTCTTTGGCCACCGTAATGGATACGATGCCTCTCAGATACCACCTAGAGTTCTTCTTGAAGACCATGCCGCCCCCGCTGTCGCCGTTACATACGCTCGTGCCTGCGGAAAGACAAGATTTCGTACGGCTATTATTCGATGACCAGTTTATTTTATTACTATCCGATACATGTGCTAGAAACTCTTTAATGGTAACAAGGAAATACATGGCAGAACACAGTGCACTGTAGTCTAGTTCAATAAGTGACTACTCTTCCCCGCCCACTCCCTATAACAATTTGTTCTTATGAAATACGTAAATACACGTAATTTTAACATTGGTAATGGAATTTTGAACTGTAAAGACTAAATAAGTACATCCTGTGTAATCCGAAATGATCACTCAAACTAAAAAAAAAAACCTATATAATATAATGCATTTGTTAAAAATAATTATTTTGCATTTTTCTCGTTAAATACCATGCAATAGTACTTACTTTTGCTATTATTACATATTCTTCGATTCATTAATAATAGTTCACTTACCGTTTCTAAAACCAGCGCAAAACGTATTGTCAGACGTAAATTCTGAATAAAATTTCGGATAGCTCCAGAGACACGTTTCGTGCGACACAACTGGCATCCTGGCCATTTTGAGCTCTTCCGTCGGCGTATCGTTTTCATCAAAACCCCAACCGACAACCTACATTGAAATGAAATTAAGTAAAATCAAAAAGAAAATCTACATTATTATCCAAAAAATCAGAATCCTTTCTAATCATTATAAATACGTTTGGTTTCTTCTTATTGCATACAAAGTTTATTTTTCTAAGTTTATAAAATTAAATGCTATACAATTATCAACACTTATGTTTCACTACACTAATATTATAGGACCCAAAACCTTGATTTAATCGTATGACTTCTTATTCTGATAAAAATATTTCATATATTTTATTACCGTTCCGTCTTTACCCTCGATTTCGCTCAAATCAGTGAAATTGTTATCCCACAAGCATACCGGCGTCACGTAGTTTGTGAATTCGGCGTCCGACGACAATGTCAACACGGCAATGTCTCCCAAATAGTTGCTACTGTTGTACGATGGGAATACGTTGATTCGGACGACCTGTAGATAAATATAATAGAATATAAAAATAAAACTCAATAAAGTAGAAGTTACGAGTTTCTAAAAGTTGGTATATTATAATTTATGGTGAACCGGCAAAGTTCCTAGAGACAAAATATTATTTTTATTCAAAACGATCGACGTGATATTAATTTTTGTCATATGATGCAGACGTTGCAATAGTGTGCATTCCAGTATTTCTATCCTCTGCATGATTTTTCATTGTTTACACACGATGTACTCGTCCACCAGAATTCAGAAAATGATTCTAGAAGTAACTTTACCTATGGACCCGCAACAAGCCAATTCCGATTATCTTTCATAATCGTACGATTTGAATACGAGTACACATTATTTTATTTTTACAGTATATAATTATTATTATATAAGTAAAATACAATTGTTGACACTACTTTAGAAGATCGACGGCCGTATACTAATAATAATAATAGGTGTCAGTTTGAACGTGTCCAGCAGAAATAATTCAAGTTTTGTGCATTTGCTCTAAAAAATTAATGATACCCATGTGATTACAATCCTATTTTCCGTGCTCTTAACTTACAATATTTATATAGCTGAAGGGTAGCTAATAATCTCGTGTACTCATCTAAATATATCAATAATTGTGTAAACGGAGCGATAATATTGAATAATATTAATAATTTTCTCGTCTTCCCCCCTTCAATATTCGTTGTTTTAATTTATTTTTAATTCTAATCTATCCCACAGAATTTGTAGGAATAATTTGATATATTGAAGTTATTTAATAACTTAAATAGTATTCAACTGTACAAGTGAACAAGCACCCATCCATTTCTCATGTGATTTATTATTATATTTTTACGGTTGTATTAATATTTTTTGAATATTTAATTTGTAACTGTACATATTTTTTAAAATTGTATATAATTGTATATTTTTTCCACGTTTCGTTCCATGTTTTGAATTGGATAACATTCATTTTTTCTGAAATTCTAAGTTAGTTACACTTGACGTGCTCACCTGTTTTGTTTGTACTCCCAACTCGTCGCTGTACTGTAGCTGATGGTACTTGCCGAGATAAACGACAATCTTGCTGGAATTCAACACGAAGTCATTTACTCTGTTGGTCACGCAATGAGCAGCTTAAAGTCAAAAAAAATTAAATTTCATACGGATTAGAAAATAAACAACGAAAAACGAAATGTATTAATCCTGGAATCATGAATGGAATTATACAATATGAACGTCAGCAAGCAAATATCACAACACGAATAACCCGAAATTGCCTATACAAATCGCCTTAATATTGCGTTTCCAATTGACGCATCGTAGTATTATTTTATGGGCCAGCGCATTCAAATTTGTATTTCATATAATTAAGCGAGGCACTTAATCAATAAATCTTAAATGGTTTAATATTTTAGTGTGGTTCAGATTGATAGAGTGGAATGAAAAGGGAGTAACTATATGAACAATGCTAAAGGAGCACGAACTGTATTCTGTGATCGTCTAAATTATAATCAACTATTTATTATCAATAACTAGTTTGTTATTAATCAATATTTACAAATAAAACATTAAAAGAAAACAAATCTTAAAAATTGTGACGCATGAAAAAAGTGAAATTTTTGTTGCTAAAATTACATTTAGATAAGAACAATTGTTTTTCTTTTACACATAAATCGACCAATAAAATGATTGATCGACATCGGAAAGTCATCATTTACAAATAAATGGTAAAAAAAAAACAACTAAATTAACACAATATTCGAATCTAATTGTATTAGTATATATTTTTTTCGGCATTCGCGACCGTGAGTCCCTCATACTCGAGTTGTTCGCGCATACCTCCTCTCCGCAAATAGAGCAGCGCTTACCAGTGATGACTTTGTTCTTCGACACGAGTGACCCTCCGCAATGGTAACTCAGATTTATGCCCTCGATCAAGTACAGCGCCACGTGCCAGGGCCATTGTCCGCGGTGCGTCGATTGTCCGGCGGTCACCAGTGGAACGGCCAGTTTGACTTCGCCACACGAGCCGGCCGACAGCTGCTGTGAGTTGACGTTGCTGCGAAAAACCAATTCGTCGTAATGCGGTTTAATTTTTACAATAATATTTTCACAAATACAGTAATGACCTTTGCTCGCGGTAACCTCCTCAAAAGTTGTCCACTATCTGATATCAGCCAATAAATGTCCAATCAACTATAATATTCTATTCCCGTCCCAAAATAGACACGTAAATAGGTGCCTATATTCCTTATATTTTGGGGAGAGGTGATGATTAACCTTTTTCAATATGATTGAGATTTAAATAATGTTCAATATAGTAGATATTATGGTAATTATGATACATTTTAATTCGTGGTTACTATTATAAGGTATTTCGGCGGGAGGCAATTGCTTATATGCCTCTTAAATTACGTACTTGTATCGAAATTATAGTTAGCGTAGGTAGAGCAAATTTTATCAACAGCGGGTGAGCTCTCACATTATCCAGTAAACGCTTGTAACTCAAAGTACAAAAAAGTAATATTATATAATATACTATACTATACTAGTAATATTACTATTATAGTTTATATGAGTATCATTTAATACGAAATACGGACATGGTATGTGTAATGATAATATATTATTATGATTAGATTAATTGTAATGATAACGCACTAAGATGATGTTGGCATCAGTGTAGCTGATACACAAATTAGTCGTTATCAGTTGTTGTTAATAAATGCTTCTTTTCCATAACGATAAAATCATGTGTTTTAATATTTCCTAATATTTTAATATAAGAACATACTTCATCCGAATATATAACAGTATGCTATCTAGAAACCAATTGTATAGGGTCGTACTCAGACAGGTTTTCTCGGGTTATTTGTCCGGGGCCCGATCCTAAACCTATTTTTGAGGGGCTCGGGTCTATAAAGAAAAAAAACTTGTGAATTATGACTGGCCCGGATCTACAAAAAAAATTTTAATTTTAATAGTTCGCTGCTGGAGCTTAGGTATCGACCAATGGGCACTACCACTTTGTTGAATTTTTATTCATATATTAATACTGTATATCTGTGTATTATTGCAATGATAAATGATAATTGCAAATCGTTCAAAACAACTCAATTATTTGAAAACCATTTATAGCGACCGAATACTTATATTTTACTTTAATCTTATCAAGGAATGTATTTTATGTCATTTTGGGTGAAGTAATTGCATATATAAACAAACGATTTGAATCACTGAAAACAATTATTGATATCTTCTCAGTTCTTTGGGAGTTAAATATATGACAGAAGGAGAAATTAAATTAAAATCTAGAAATATGGTTTTAAAATATAATGATGATTTACAAGAAGATTTAGTAGATGAGCTACAAAGTCTTAATATAGTTTATGCTACTAACTTTGGACATAAACAACTAAACCCCTTAGAATTGCTGAATCACTTGCAAAAAACTTATCTTGCAAACATGTTCCCTAAATACTTTATTGCATTACGAATCTTTTTGATTATTCCTACAACTTTTGCGAGTGCGGAATAATCTTCCTCGACATTGAAGAAAGTGAAGAATGTATCACGATCAACAATGACACAACAGAGAATCTCAACCTTAGGTGTTTTAGCAGTGGAGGCTCAACTGGCAAAGACGATTGACATGGATGGGACCATTGATGATTTCACAGTAAGAAACGCAAGAATAAAAACCCAAAGACTTTTTTAAATTTAGGGTTATTAATTATATAAGTTATGGTTATTAATAAGGACCGGTTTGATATGCACAAAAAACCCTCAAAATATGCTTTTTAAAATGCTGTAATATGCTATAAAATATGTATTTATTTTTAATATGTACTTAAATATTCACTTAAAATGTTGTTTAAAATGATGTACAAATATGTGAAATATATTATAAATATAAAAAAGTTTGGCATTTATAATACCACCAATTATGTTTTTTGATTTGTTTAATGTGGTTTTTGCGTTTTTAATTTTGATCATAGCTTCTGATAATAGGTAATCTTTTGATTGTAATATTTTTATCGTGCTCTGAATTATTTCAAAATTTGATTTAATGTAAATTAAATTAGCTTTCAAATTAGGATCTTTTATTAAATCTTGTGATTTTTTAATTGAAATAGTCTTCACTGTTCAATTGAAGAATTATTTCTTTAATAATTTCCAAGTTGTCACAATAATAAAAGGCTGCGTTTAGCCATGTATCCCAACACGTTAACATTGGTTGTAGTGGAAGTATTAGATTAAGGGCTATAATTCAGAATAGTGTCGTACGCGATGGAGCTTTTAAAAAACTTTTTTGACGTCAGAAATGAGTTCATCAACTTGAGGGAATTGATTTCTTATTTCTTCAGCAACCCTGTGTATTTGGCCGCAATTTTATCGATATTATGGGGCTGTGAACGTGAAATTACGACAAAAACGAATATATGTACTATTAATAATAATATGCACTATAAAACTACAAATATGCATTGAATATGCATATAATAGGTTAAAACTTTGAAATATGCAAAATATGCTAAGTAAAATTAGTGTTATTTTAATAAGAAAATCTAAATCGGGGACAATATTCATCAGATTTCAAAAAGCTTATTCCCATACATATATGCATTTGCATATAAATCCGGTCTCTAGTTATTAATATAACGTTTAATATTATTATGTCGTTTTGTATTTTATCATTTATGTATTTGAGTGTTAAAATTTTCTTTTAAAAAGTTTTAACATTTTTTAGATAAAAATAAAAACATATTAAAATAGCATGGTTGCCATACTATTTTTTTTTTATTAATGAGATTTTAACGTTACATTATGATATCTCGACAATTATGTACATAAATTTGAAATAAATTAAGGTTGGTAAAGCTCACACTCTTGAATTCGGAGACCTGATTGCAGGATAAAATTTAGCGTATGTTTGATTATATTGGTATTGTCGGTTGAAAGAGCATCAATAAGGGAAAAACTAATACCAGAGATGAAAAAGAGAATCTTTAGCTGAGATCTTTGGATAGATAGAAATTGACAATTAATGAGTAGGTGATGGAAATCACAGTATTCTCCACCACAGTTGGGTAGAGGACAACACGCACTACTGTTGAGTCCCAATTTAAATGAGTGGTGTGGTAATAGGCTATGGCCCGTGCGTAATCTAGTGAATTTAGCTATGGCTGCACGGCTCATCTTTAGGGAATGAAACCATGGTCGATTAGGGATGTTTTTAAATAATGACCTATAACCAAAAGCATAGGATTCTGGTAAGGAATCCCATTCCAGCTTCCATTGTTCATTTATAACTTTGCGATGTAAAGAGACTAAATCCGTATAGGGACACCACAGTGGACCCGAGTAAGAGTGGTTGGCGGTTGAGCCAGCTAACGAATCAACGTATTCGTTACCATTTATGCCTATATGCCCTGGAGCCCATAGGAAGGAGATGGAGAATGACCTGATTTTGAGGGATAGTAGTAATGCGCGGATTTTTAGAATTATGGGGGAGCAGTTGCAATACTATTTGATGTTAAAATAATTTAATTATTAGTTTTATACATAATTAGACAAACTTTTCCTATGAAAACTAGGAAAACCCCTTTGAGAAATAGGGGGCCCAGAAGGTTTAGTTTGTTCGGGGATCACCAAAGCTGAGTACGGCCCTGATTAAATCATGAGAACACGAATAGCATCTTATTGTTCATAGTGAACTCGATCATTATAGCCGTTTTAGTTCGGATTCTTTGACGACCTGTTTATTGAATATTATTTTCTGTCGCCTTATAAATATTTTCTTGAAAACTACTTTATTTTGATCCCTTGAATAATAAAAGGTTTCACTTTAAATATTTCATTACTTCGTTTTTATGCGTTCAAATTTCTCTCTCTCTCTCCACACTGTAGCAGTTGTCACGCGGTATTTAAAAAGCTTACGAAAAAATGTCAAAACCTCAATGATGTAGTTTGAATAGCATCCAAACAATAGTTTTACATTCCCACGGAACGGATACGTTAAGTATTAAGACACCATGGTTATTATCTTTAAGTATTAATTTATTTTTATATTTTCAATTCCATGATACAAGTCAAATTCAATTAATATATACTTTTATACAGTTGTTGAAAAACCAGATCCACGTCATATAGCTCATTATAATTACTATACTATGAACGATTGATTAGTATAAATAACATTTTTCTGTCATCGAAAAATGCCACTGACTTGTACTAAATTCAACACATTCGTTCTTTGGATTCACGTAATCGGTATTATAAACTATTAATGACTCCAGCAGTCTTTTGGTTACAAATCACAACCAGTTTAATTGCACATTAGCCTCTAAATTATTAATTTCAAGGTCCACCAAGGTTATAATGGATATTATTTTCCACAGTCTTTTGTTGGTATGTGTTGTACGTCACTTACGTTTAAAAAAAATATATATTTATGCGAAGTCAATAGAGTTATTATGATGCGTTACACAACTCCCTAGTTTTATTTTTTCTCTCCAACGCACACAAAATAACATGAATTAATTGAAAAGAAATCAATTGTAAAAAAAAGTTAATTTTAATAATTATTCAGATAAGAAAATATATTTTTGATATGTTTTGAAAAAAAATGCATATTATTATAATATTCCTGTCATTCACATCATAATTTATTAAAATATTTTTGAATTCATTTTATCACCAGTAAAAAAGTTTATAGCTAAATTGAATATTTCGTACTTATAGTATTACTTAATTGATTTAAAATATTATGACTAAAATATGATAGTTTACTGTATATGCTGCACTTGGAAAACAAAACGGTTTTAAACATCTACTACATAAAACATAACTTAAGATATGGAATTTATTAATGTAACATTATATTACGAATATTTGTATGAACTATCTGCTCATGCGTCCTTTTACCGTGAAAAATTAGTACCAGACTTGAATGTGAAATAAAAATTCAAGAAAATCCACTACAGTTGTCGTGACTTAAGCCAACTATGATTCTGGTTATTATTTATACGTTAATATTCGTTCATCGTATCATCAATTAAGTAAAAATGATGCAATTATTACAATTGGCTATTAATTTTAAATATTCATTATATTTAAGAAATTTAATACGTAGTTAAGTGCAGTACAACAATCGGTTTAAATAAGTATTTATATTTTCTTCGAAATATCTTAACATCGATTAAGAATATCGATAGAATGAAATCAAATCTTTTCTTTACATATGTTTTCGCTCGAAATATTTTAATAGAAAATCAAATTTATATGGATATTTTCAATATTAATTATGCTTAATAACATTCTCTTATGTTATCTTAATTTTGAATAACGGCTATTTTTTTTATTAAACTCAAAACTCTACTTGTTATTAATAATTGTTTTATCATATAATCTCAAGTTAACCTATATCATAATTAATGTTTTGTACACTATATTGCCTTCGGGCGTTAAATAAATAAATAAATATGGTAGTAAAATCGTATCAACGTGAACAGCTGACAACTTAACCGGGAATTCTCTGAGCTAAGCCGCCAATTGTAGCGAAAATCGTACTTCGGCTTATCCTTACTAATTTTTTCCATTAAAAATAATTATTATTATATAATCATTTATTAATATCAAGTTAACCATTTAGCTACCGCATAACATAACTACCGCGACTACGCGAGTTTTATACAACTCCGTGAGCGTTATAAATTATATTTAAGGGATGCAATGCGACTTACCTAGAATAAGAGTCGCCTTGATTGTAATTATTGTTGTTAGGCTTTTGATTGGTGGACAGCTGTTCAGTAGGCTTATTGTTGGTGTTCGGTCTAGAACTACCGGAGTTGGTATTAGAACTCGGCCTGGAGTTGCCAGGGTTGCTGTTATAATTGTTGTTGTTGTTATTGTCCACGGCCACAGGTCTTGCACCATTACCGGTGTTCGGATGGTTCTGCTGTTCTTGGGAGCCCTGCTGTTGACTGTTGTCGATCACGGTTATAATAACGGTCTTGTTCTTCTTCTGATCCTGCAATAACCCGTTGATGACGCCGGTGATCTCGCTGTTGGAGTCAGTGCTGGCCTGCAATGATACCGTGTTCGGATTATTGTTGGGTCGATTACCGGTGCCCTCATAAGGGTTTCGTGTGGTCGCTTTGGTCGACCTCCTGGTCGTGGACGGCTCGTCTGTGTTTGTGACCACGGGTCTGTACCCTGCGGACGCAGGACGGTTATTATTGGAGGATGACGACAAATAGTCCGTGTCGGACGGGTTGTTATTATTGTTGTAATTATTGTTGAGGTTGTTGTAGTCAATGTTATTGTTGGTCTGCGTGCTCGGCCGGTTATTGCTGTTGGAATTGGAATTAGTGTACTCGTTCACGTTTTCCCCGAAATTATTGACTTCGAAATCGGGATCTGGTCTCTTGGTGGTCTGACGTTTATTCGGACCTGGCACTTCCGAGTGAGCTGAAACTTATAATATTATGTCGATCAAAGGCAAGAAAATGAGAATAAAACAATATGTATAGCAAAAGTTCTAAACCTTTTGAAGTCCATACCTCCTTTTATACTATTGTATTACGTCACACTTCCACAATTATAATATTATTATTTAAGTATATTTAATTGCTGCAGCAGTGTGGCACGATAGCTACGAAACTACTACAATGGTGACGAATTATGATTCTTATTGAAAAGTATATATGTTTCATACATTGGACGTCACAATTAGAGTAATTAAATAGACAATTATGCATAATAAAATGTAATTAATTTGGAACAACGTTTTCATAGTTCGGGGTAAGATTTCACCACGCCTCCTCAGATTGAGGACCATCTACTTGATGTAAAGTGTATTGTATTGTACTCACTGGAATCCTCTGGACATATTTTCCGACCGTTGAGCCGGATGAATCGTACTCTTGGACTGCCTGTCGTTCTGTTAAACTTGACCATAATTCTGGTCAATACCGGAGGTCCAGGCCTAAGCCTTTGCTCCAAATTCAATATGGTGAATTTCACATTGTCGTTGGTCGTTGTGTCTCCCATCCACGACTGAAAACAAACGTGATCACATAATTTTATTCGCCATCAAGTATATTGGTAAAATAATTCGATGATAATTATTGGCACTTAGTGTTTTTGAACACATGGATATACCTATCTAGGATAATTGTGGTTAAAATTATTTAACGAAGAAAAAGTAAAAATGTCTTGGTGGAACAAAAATAAATAAGTTTAAGATATAATACATTTTATCTTAAAGTTATGATAATATATAACGTATATGTTCTTCTTCTTCTTCTTCGTCTGGTCTTTAATAATCTTTAAGAATTTTCACCGCCATCGCTAAATCGAGTTATTTTTTAAATACCGATGAAACTTAAAATTAATTTATTAGTAAGTATAACTTATTGTTTAATAAAATATTATACATATAGTACACATATGCATATACTTAAATAAGTTTTACAATGTCGTTAAACAAAATCGCTATGTGTAACGATTTTCTTATGTGTGTATGTTGACATTAGGTCGCTAAAATATAATTTAATTATTTAAAACGCCTCAAAGTTTTCCTATATTTAATTGTATTCCACTTCTGACGACAGACTTTTAATAATATTGATTTGAAAAGCTGTAGCACGTGGTAGATATATAAATGGATATTCAGATTGAGTAAAATCGGTTTTGAAAAAAAAAAAATGTTTATTGAAAATGTATTAAAGCTTAATTATTACTTTTCCGCATTCGTTAAAAAATGATTTTTCCCAAATGTTTTTTTGTAAAAAAATTTCACATAGAAAACTTACTACCATCAAATCTGAAGGTCGATCTAGCTCAATGTTCAATCGGACGCCTGCCAGACTTTCGTCGGTTCTCAGCGAGATCTCGCCGTACCATTTGTTGATTTCTGGCTCTGAACCTTCGTAAGAGAATACGTCGGGGCAAGGAGACGGTGGATGAGCAGCCCATGACGTATGCTCTGACAGCCACAAGAATAATAGTCCACTGATTATTTTCTGTAAAGAAAAAAAACATTGATAAAAAAAAGCCAATATTTATAAATAAAGTAAGCTAGGACAACATTATTGAGTCATATTTAGTCAAATTAAAAAAAAATAAATTAAATTAATATACTAACTAGTACCTATACCCATTGCGAAAATTCGCAATAAATAATTTATATTATATTAAATAAAAATTATAGGTGCAATCGAATCAATACAGTGGCGTAGCTAGGATTTTCTGAAGGGGGGTGTTAATTATAATTATTAAATATTATATATAATACGTACACACTAAAACTTTTATTTTAATTAATTAATATGTATACATAATGTTTGTAATAGAGATGTAATAGATATTCGAATTCGGATAGCTTTGCCATAAATTATTCGTATATTTGACTATTCGAATGTCAATATTCGATTCTACAATACCTATTATTATTAAACGTTTTGTGTTGCACGAAAACGTAAACGAATAATTTTCGTCACGTATTGTCGCAATCGCGATAATGTTAACTTGTATATATGTAATTAGTATTGTGCATCATTTTATATTTCATATTGTATTATCGATTTACCTATATTCCTATAATAATGTAATATATGATACGACTCAAGGGGGGGTGTCATATCTACCAAACACCCCCCTTGTATACGCCACTGAATCAATACATTAATATATTTGAACAAATCAATAAATGAGTATAATATTAAAAATTGAAAGATAGTAGGGTCTCGATAATCCGAACGAAATCAGGGAAAGGGGTCGTTCGGATTATCTATGGCTTAATAACATTATCAATTTTATTGTAATTTAAATTATGAAATTTATTTTTATCTGTATTAATCATATAAAAACTTATAATTTATAAAGACAATGTATACAAACAATTATTATAATTAAATATGTGTGTATGAACAGATAATATTTATTACATAATATAAACCTTATTATTTAGAATATATATTTAATATTATTATGATATACATATATATGTATTAATATAGCGATGCGATATTTCTCAAGGTCGTTCGGATAACCGTGTATTTCGGATTAGCCTATGTTCCGATTATCGAGGCCCTACTGTACATCGAAATAACAGAGAAATTTTATTAAAATATATGTTCCGCAGCATTAGGATAGACTATGTATGAAAGGGTGTAATTATTATATAAAATAATTTTACAGTGCTTCCTTTCAGATAATATTAGCTAATATAAGTAATAATATTTGTATTGTTTGTAAGTTGTTTGTTGTTATATCACTGGGTAAGAGCCAATGAAAATTCAGTATTTGGAAAAAATTGAAAGTAAAGTTGACTGTGCACACATAACTTTCCTTAAACTCAAGGAATTTAAGCAGTTAATAGCTCAAAAGAAAGAGCTTGATCCACTGAGTTTTCTGGGAGTAAAACGATCAAGATCCGTTCATTAGAAGAGGAGCTATGAGAATTCGAATTGCTTGAGTGGATGTGTCCCATAAGAAATGTACAGTATAATTATGAATAATTATAATATTTAATTAATTAGTTCATCTGACATGAACGTTAAACTATTTTGGAATATCAAGATATCAATAGCTAGACTTTACTATCGTATCTTGACTCATTTGTGTAATATTTCAACTGCCCGCAGGCAATGTTTTCCAAAGATGAGCATCATTATAATTAGTTAAATTAATTCAAAATATATAATTGAGTTTTTTTACTAGTTTCATTTAATCGCGTCAATATTTGAAATAACTATAGTAAAATTTAGCTTTACCCAGCTAATTTAAGGACATTTTTAATAGAGTTTAATATTAATTTGATATATTTTATGATTATTTACAGTTTTTTATTTATATTTTACACTTATAGTTTTTTTCAATAATACTTTAGTTATATAGTGAAATGATTATGTTATTATAATAAAAGTGTTAATAAAAGTCTAATAAAAATGGCGTTGCAGCAGATTAAAAATAAGCTATGTGTCACATGTGCTAATGAAAAATTGATGATGATACATTTCTTACCAACTTAAATTTACTGTAGCAACTTTTTCGAATCTATTAAAGAAATTCATTGTTTTTTCGACTGTTATAAGCAGTGGCGCAGCTACGGGTGGTGTTTGGGGGTTTTATCCCTCCCCAAAAATTTTTTTGAGATTTTTACAAATTTTACGTAGGAAAAAAAATGGTTTATCTTGAACACGCGAAACGGCTGATTGATATGAAATGTGAATATTATGCGTATTATAATTGATAATATGACAATTTTTTGTACGTTCGTTCAACTTTAAAACATCAATAACCTCGCTACTACGATTTCTTGGTAGTCAATTGTATAATACTTTTTTTGTGGTATCACAATATGAAATAGAAGTTAAACAGTTTAATTTATAATTTAAATATTTAACTCATAAACCTAACTTAACCTTACTTCCTTATCCCCATCAAATACCTGCAGAAATCGCTTATTTTTTCCAACCCCCCCCCCTCCGAAAACCAATCCTGGTTGCGCCATTAGTCATAAGTATATTATAATGTTCTTGTTGGTTAACATGACTGTATTAATTTGTGAAGCCACTCATGTAATCGACCGCGATTTAATACCTCATTATCATTGAAAAATACTATCATATCAATAAAAATATAATATATACATTATAATATAGGTAATATAATATAGGTAATAAGTAATAACTCAAAGTTGAGTAAGTTTACTAATTTGTTTTCAATTAATTTTAGTTAAGTTAATGTAAATAAATATAAGTAAAGTTTAATATTACTTTTATTTTAAACAACAATATGTTAATGTACTTGTTATATTGTCCTTATTGAAATCCATGAATAGAGCATTCAACACTTCTACAATTATAATTTACTATTATTTTTTTCTAAAACAAAAATTTGTATAAAATATGTTTTCAATCACTAGCGCTTAAGTTAGGAAAACAAATTAATCCAACGTGATTACGAAAAAATTATTATCTGATTACCGATTAGTATATAGTTGCACATTCCAGTAAACAATATAACTTATTAAGTTATAAAAGTTAATTTTATCAATAGTAAAAATTATTAATTATTATTTATTTATTAAATTAAATATTACAATAAGCAAAAATTATTCAAAATAATTTTTACAAATTAATAAAACAACAGTTTAAATTTGTAACCTGTTATATTATTAATAATATAAATATATTATTATATATATTATTATAATTAATTATGAATATATTATTATAATACACAGAGTGTACTCGTACCATTTTCAAAGTCGCCGTATGTATTCCTGATCCACTCGTCGTCCACTGGCGGTCAATAGACTGTTACTAAGCTCTCTATGACGATCCGGCACCTGGTTTTAAATCTGCACAGATGGTAGTTGTCGACTCGGTAGTCATTGACGTGGCGTTGATGCACGCGATCATTTCAGCCGCGAGCTGCGACCCCCGTTGGTGCCTATTATTGCAATTAAGGATTTCGCAGGAGTTGGACTTCACCGTCGCCGTCGTCGTCGATGATAAATTTGTTTGATCTGCAAATAACCAAAGGTATTTTAGATTTCCGATTGACAACGCGACGAATATTAATAAAACGTATTCACAGCACAAAGATATACATGTTTGGAGTTACGGGTATCCGTTGAAGGACGATCGCATCAGAGATATCAATTATAATCTAACCGGGTAAACAATTTACGTTCCGCGATGACAGTTATGGTTTTAACGTACTCGAAGGTATAATAAAAATAAATTTAAATAATATTATGCAGCCAAAATGTTATTTGGATATCCTGAAGTCACGAACGTCGCCATTGCGTGGGAAACCAATGACCATTCCAATCTTGGAATATCGCAATCGGTTATTTTACGTGAAATTGTATAAATAAACTACAAAACAATTAACGAACATCATTCGGAAGATTATTATCACAAAAAATATGGGCAAATGTAAATTACGTCCAACGAAGGGAAACAATTGTAAATTGCGCCCGGTATTTTTTAGATATAAAGTTTTGTGTAGTAAATTGCGCTCTGTATTTTTCAGGTACAATATTCTGCGTAGTAAATTGCACCCAATAGAAATATTATTTTTATTATAGTCATTTAGCATTACCCAGAGGACACCACGAGAAGGCGACTATCACTGTCCTACAAACATTTTTTTTTAGTTTACTTGAGATGAATAAATTAATTAATAAAAATAAGAAAATTCATTTTTTTTTTTAAATATTATGGTATTAATTATAGTTTTTTAATTTTTTTTTGTTAGGTTAAAAATGTTAATAATAAAAAATATAGTAAGTACAGGAAAGATTCACAAGTCGAGTTGTCCTTTATGACTTTAGTTGTCTGAGTTAATGTTGCAGAAGCTGATGCCCAAATACTCGGAAGAAAGTCAGCGAATAAAATATACGTGTTTTAAACATGGCAAGAAAATTGTCTAAGTCGATTATCTTCAAGCATAGTAGGCATTAATTCATTGTTAAAATAATTGCAAACATTTTCTGGCTCTAAAAATACCAGGTAATGATGAAATCAAGGTCACTTAGTAGATACTATCCCCGAAAAATCCCGGGCGCACTTTACTATAGTATTTTTACTACCTACTTAATGTGGGCGCAATTTACAAACGCCCAAAAATATAGCTACATGTGTTATAATAGCTGCGATTAATTTAGTTAATGAAATCAACTGAAAATGCGTTTGCCTTGGAATCGTTTTAAAGTCGCTACACGCTTAGAATGTGTTGACATTTAAATACGTCTGCAAGACGTATATATTTTATATAATGAATAAAGAAAATACATGCAAATATCTTTAAAGATTTTATAAATATTAAAATAATGTTTCCTTTTTTTTTTTTAATATTAATAGCCTTTAGTTAATTAACTAAATAATGTTATATGAAGCTGTCGAAAATGGTTTCCGACTGCCGATAAACAGCTAACACACGATTCGACCAAATCATTTTTCTTTAGTGGTGAACAGGCAAAATAATCTCGAAAACTATTTTGAATAGATAATCGGGTTTCGAGTATTTCATCAGCACATTGATTAAATATGTCTAGCTCCCAAACTACTAGATTTCTGGCTCCCCCCGGTCGGTTATTGGGAGCTTCCATACATTATCATTGTATGGGCTATCTATGTATATTTAATCAATGATCTACACGAACGATGATTTTGGAACGGTATTTGGTGATTAATTATTTTTATATTAAATTGTATTATACCGCGTTAAAGATATTCAGAATAGTAGAATATTATATAGGCGTCAGTAAAAGTATTTGAAATAATATCGCGTTATGCATATGCTCAAATGCTCATCTAAAATGTTATTTAAAATTCTGTTAGGACATTAATCTAACCTCTCTCCCAGTCAATGTCCAATATGATAAAATAAATTACTATCATAATATTATTGTTCTACGTGTATTATATCAAATTACGATTAAATTACACGTCATAGGATCATCATTGGCATCATAGTAAATTCACTTATTTACTAAATTTGTTTTTTCCCTTTCTCAAAACGTTTGTCGGATGTTTATGTTTTAGTGTACCTCACTACCTCAAAATGAGTTGTGATATAAGAATAATCGATCTAAACTCCAACAAAATATGCAAACGATCGATTCTCGCAATGTTATAATAATACATCGTGTACTTCGGAATTAATTTACATATTATTATAGTAATTTATGTTGCCAATTAGTGTGAATTCAATCAAAATGGAATATAATGTGCTATAATATGTTATGAATCACAGTGCCAGAGGCTCGAGGTCGGTTTTCCATTACCACGCCGATGTGGTATGTGCATTATATTGCGCGTGATTATAATATAAAGTGCTCAAATTTTCTACGTGTACACATAGTTTAATTTTTCATCTTTTCAAGGTTAAGGGAGACACTCTTTTTCTCATCTTATAAAATTTATTATTTAATTATAGTACCTGTTATACTATATAATTGTACCGTTATTACGTACCAGTTACATAATTTTATATCATGAATCCGGATCGGACTTGCCGAATACTATACCGTACTAGATCGTATAAATTTTAGGTGAAGAAGGGGATAATAATAATAAGTAATAATATAATAAGAATACAGTCACTCACGACACCGAAATTGCGTCGTATACAAATTGCGAATACACGGAATATCGGCCGTATCGATAACTGCAGTTATATTTAATCGACAGCACACGAATCCGGTCCTGATAAATACGCTTTGCAACGGATTGTTGGCTATAAGAATTGTTATCTACTCTATAAGTATAGTATATATTATAACATTGAGTACGCAAAAATGCTAAACATGAAGAAAAAAATTATTGTTCGATAGTGTCGTTATATTATAAGTATATACGCAGTGAGCTAGAAAAAAAATCCCTGGTGCGCAGCTAATCATTAGTCCACATACAAGTGTGCCAAGGGGTGCTTGGAAACCATCAAGTTTTATATTAGAACCCCCAGTATATTTTAAAGGTAAAAATATTTAAATAAAATTATTTTGCGTCTATAAGAGTAAGTTAGTGACGTTAGTACATTCCCAATTCCAGTTTGAATTGATAATGCACTAATGTAATTGGCGTGCAATGTACAAACATTATACATATTTGGGTTTGTTATGTTACCTATTTATAACGCATGTGATATTGTGATGATTATATGCGAATTGATGTATAGAAAAAGAAATAACAAATGGTTTAAGTAATGAAAATATTATTGACAAATCTGCATAAAAATCGAAAAAAATAGATTATTATATATATATATATATATAATTAATTTATTTTTTACTTTAGCTATCTTTCTATAATAATATTAAATAAAACTTTTCATGTATTACTTTCGTCATTATTATTATATATTGTATAATATGTACAATTATTATTAAAAAATAGAAAAAGTTTTTGTCAATTTATTTCATATTTTAAGGAATTTATCTAGTGCTAGTTATATTATTGAGTATAATAAATATATGACTAAAAGACTGTTATATGAAAATTGGATATCAACATCATGAATTTGCTTGATGTTAGAATTTATAATTAAATGGTAAAACTAAAAAAAATTGCAAACAAATATATGTAGGGGGGACGTAGGCATTGCCTCTCACGGATCATCTTTGAGTGAATAATTTTAGCACTCCCAAGTCTTTGATTATATGTGTGTCAAGGCAGCAGATGGTAGATTTCATGGATGATTTTTGATTTTCTAGCGATAAATCCAACATTTCACCGTGTTAATACCAGGCCCAGGTGCACTCTACTATATTTTAATCTTTAGCACTGATTTTTATATATATATATTATACAAAAGGCTTGCAATGGGTTCGTATGGAAAATATAATTTTAATATTGACTATTAACTGCAGTGGTAGAAATATGTAATTTTTTTCTTATTTTCTTGACTTATATAATATGTATACAATAGTAATCAAATATTGTGTGCATGCTGTATGAAAATATTCAAATATATACATTAATCAGACATTTACACCAAAATATGCAAGAACATAAAAATAATTCACCTGCTGAATCTACGAATATGATGATTTCAAAATGTTAAAGTCAGAATAAGTGATATAAACTATAGAAATATTAACTATGCAATTTTATATAAATCTGGTCTTAAATGTATAAATATATTTTAAGTGTTAATTTTTTAGTTTTAAGTAAATATGTTACTTTTTCCCTACTCACGAGTTTATTTAGTTATTTAAATAATATAACATTGGGATTATCTTAAAATTTGACTATAAAATAGTTATTAATAATATTGTATTACTCACTATCTCTAAAAGAAACTATTAGCTTAAAATAAATAGATAATCATTTAAATACCTAATTTAGTATTTTGTTTATTATATAATTATAATGATTTTCAATAATAATAATTAAAAAATTAAAATATATATACAATATTAACTGACTAGAACGTTTTCACGTGATGACAATATGATTATGCCGATTGTTTTTAACCGATTTATCTATAAATATTATCAATAGTCAATAATATCGCTGATTTCTCTTATATATATAAATTTTATTATTTCACTTCTAAGCCATCAGTTTTTTAAAGTTTCAGAAGTTACAGGTTCCGGGTGCACTCTACCAATCTTTTAGTACGTTTCGTCTATATTTCTATGGGACGTAAATTTTTTAGTTGTGGCAAAGCTAATTTCATATTAATCGATTACAAATTTTGGTTACATTAATTGAACTTAACGATCCTGCTGTCATAAATTACTTTAATAGACAAAAAAAAACCCAATTACGTTTTCTACTTATTCGGCTTAATAATAATAATAATAATGGTAACACTCTTATTTATATACTCATCATATGTGTATTTATTTGTGATTGGGTCTCGGGATTATTCAACAATATTTCCGGATAGCAATTAAAAATCGATTTGTAGTTTTTTTCATAGTTCAAAATTTTCTACGTAATTTACTGCATATTATGCAACGTATTATGTTGATCCGTACCTTTACCGTAATTTTTGCAGAATGAAAATAATCAAATGTTTTATTAGTGATAGATATTAAATCTGAATTCTCCGAAAATCCAATGAATCCAAATTTCAGATTTATGGATTTCAATATCCGAATTTCTTATTTAACATTGTGGACTTCTGTATTCTAATTAAAAAAAAATTAAAAATCAATGTATTACATTATGTGTCATTATTGAGGCCTTACATTAAATAATTCTACATCCATTTTTTCAAAACCCGAAATTCAAATTTAGAATAAAATCTGGGTATTTCATATTCCTAAAATCCGGATTTTCGAGCTTCGACTAATTTTTCCCATCGTGAAAATATGTATACGAATGCGCATGGTATGTATACAAATGCTACAAAAATTAAATTATTTTCGAAATGAAGTGGTCGTATAATACTAGTTGAATTGAAAAATAAAATTCAAAACTTACAAAGGTGATAGGAAAAAAATAAAATGTTTGAATTAATTTTAAATATATTAAACACTACATAGACAAATAGTGCATGTGCACATGTAAGTGAATGGTGCATAATCTCAAGCAAAATTTAATATAATCACTATATTTCTATAATTATATATTATATTATTTTATATTATTATATTTTAGCTGCACTTTTCTTTCCATCGATCGCTTTTTAAAAACTGTTGAGAAATCGTTTCTTAATAAATTACGACTGATAACAAATATAGCACTTATCGGCGATGAACTCTTTTTGTTCTTGATCTGTGAAAAGTAGTAACATGTATACGTGCTCCGATGTATACCTATAATGGCAAGAACTTCAGTTTAATTGTTTAATTCAGCGGATCTTGAAATGTGCACCACGGAACCCTAGATCTCCGCAAGTGCTGTTACTCGGGATATAAAAATGGTGAAAACATTCACGGACACGGTTTAATTAAATCAAATTCAGATTTTACCATTATTTAAACGGTTATATTGGTGTACGAATTTATAATATAAACAAACTCGTGCATAATATTATAAAAACATACGGATTATACAGAAACAAATCGAAAAGCAGATCATCGATAGACTATTTTTCCGTATCTTCCCATGGCTTAACAAATTAGAAATTTTGAGATCCGTTTGTTCGATTCGCCGATAAAATAATAACCGGAGCGCACCCGCTAAATGTGCTATCGTGCGATTATCACACACAGGCGCGGATTTAGAACCATAATTGGGAGGGGGAGGGTGACATTTTTTCGAAAGGACGAAAGAATAGTTTAAAAAATAATAAAAGTAATTGATTTATCAAGATTATAACTTTATTAATTACTGTTTTTTAAACGACAGAGTTTCAATCTTTCCCGTCTTATTGTATACAATCTATAGGCATGAAATACCTAAACTCAGGGTTCATTTTGGGGGGCGGGGGTGTCATGACACTAATGAAACCGCCATTGGATCCGCTCGCAATGAAATAGTCGTATTGCTACAAACATACACACACCTTACCTTACCGCAGAGCTTCACACGGCCACGTTTCGGCCGGTCGGTTGAGCGGCACCACAGTTCCGCGCGGAAGTCTTTTCGGTAGTATCGCACGGGGTGCGTGTTACCTGCCGAACGTCGTCGATATCACGCGCGGCCCGGAAACGGAAGACAACGGTACGGAAACGTAATGGGATACGCGCGGACGTGCACACACGCTCGCGTCTGTCAACGAACTGAAGTCCGCCCGGACGGCCCACAAGGTCCATGCGCGGCAATCCGGCTGCCGATTCTCGGAAATCACTGCGCGCGCGCGCACGTGATGCGGTGTAACTGATACAGGAGTGGGGATCCGGGGAGGGGGAGAGGAGTACGTCAGACGTCTGCCGCGCCATATTGATGATTGGCAACGGCGACAACGAAAAATTATGTATTCCGTACGGACCGTTTTCTCGCTACGACGCCCGTCAAAGTGCACGTGCAATATCGAGTAAAGGTCAGGGCCGTATACAGAATTTTGACTCCCTGGGGCAACAAAAATGAGCCGCCCCTCCAACTCACAAGGAATTATATATAAATACATACAAAAAACAAACAAATTTCAAATTAAGGGCTATGAATATTTTTATATTTTAAAAATTTTAAATTGTGTAAAATAACTTTTTATATCAATGTTTAAAAAAAATTAAAAACGGTAGCTATTTTTAAAAACATTTTTTTTCTGCTCCTGAAGTTAAAAAAATTATTGATAACTTCATCAAACTCCAGTGCTATTTGTTCAATAGTTGATGAATCGGTCTTTGAAACAGGAGATTCAATTTGTTCAATACAATTAATGTTATTATTCCTAGGGGTTGCTATTTGTTCAACAGTTGGTGAATTAGACTTTGAAACAAAAGACTGAATTTGTTCAATACAATTAACATTGTCAACCAAAACGTCTACACTGTTTTCTACATCTATTAATCATAATTTCATATAAAATTATAGACTAGATAATAAATGAAAAGTAATTCAAGGTTTCTATTTCATTATTCGTGTAATTTTTGTTATTAAATTTTCGTGAAATTTGGTTCGGGAAATAATGTTATATTTATTGTTATATTGTTATGGCGTGTGAAGAAACTAAGAAAACTAAAAAATATTAGTGTCTGTAATTGCATAACAAAAACGGAAACCGTTTGAAATTTGGACAACTTCTAGAGAATATAAGTAGGTATCCCGTGAAAATTTCAAGTCTTTATGATTATTAACTTTTTGAGATATAATGAAAATAAAAATTCGATTTTGTTGAAAACAGGTATACCGTGAATTTTGCCGTTTTTCGTCAGTTATTCGCGTTAACATTTAGGTTATAGAAAAATTCGAAAAATTACTTATTTAAAATACCAATTAAATGATAGTATAACGAGTTAAAATGGTTAGTGTTAGATAACGAATTTGCATAAATGTTACCCCGCTCAAAGTTACGAGCATTGTATCGCACGTTGTACTTTTATGAGCGGGCACTACTATAATTTATTACGGTTGTTGGTTGTTACTGCCGATGAAAGTACTTAATACTTATATACTATTATTTATTATTATATTAACCCTTAATTTGGCAAGTCTTCATTATTGGTGTAAAAATTATGAAGTTTGGTTTTTCTTTATATTTCGAGGCCTCTGAACTCAAAAAATTAAAAATTAAAATTTTAGGACTTAAGCTTTTTAAGTTGTAAGATGTATCCTGTGAGATACATTGCCATAACTTCATAATATGTACTATGTATCGGGTGAGATACATTGCCATATTCTCATGATATGTACTATGTATCTTATGAGATACATTGCCATAAGCTTGTATTATAAGAGTTGTTTCTAGGGAGATACATTACCAAGAACATATATATATATAATTAAAGTCGTTGGCAGTGATCAGGAAATACAAAAAAAAATGAATTCATAATAGTATATTTAATGTATTAAATAAAACCAAAACTTTAACACATTTAAAATATAAATAAACAATTTTTTAATAACAAATAAATGTATAGGAACTTCCTTTAATGTTATTATTTAATTTAATAAAGACATAGTTTAGTTTAATACTTTATAATTTTCAATTGAAACAAAACAAGATAAAAATAAATACAATTACTTCGTGTAATGAAAGTTTTGGAAACAATTTCTCCCTTCCACAAAACAAAGACGGTTTTTACATTTAAGGCATATAACAGAAGTTTGGCCTGATTTGCAATACCTACATCTGCCTTTTGTGGTAAATGCTGGACAATGGTCTATTTTATCTTGTATCACTTCTTGTGGAGGCCTTTGTGTAACCGGTGTTTGAATTTTTTTTTACCATTTTTTGTTTTGCTATCGAAGAAGAAGGACGACCAATTCTTGGCTTATTTTTACAAGCCAACGTAATAGCAATATCTTTTCTAAATTCTTTTAATCTCATCGTGTTTTTTTCACTTTTGCTATCTCTTCTATATAATAACCAGGCATTATTTACAGATATATCTATCATCTGTGAAAATAATGCCATATACCATTTGTGTGTCTTCATGTTAGTTCGGTAAAGCGCTATAAACATATCTGCTAAATCCACGCCACCCATATTGGTGTTATATTCCTGTACTATTTTAGGATAAGGGACAGGCACTTTTTTTTTTCGGTTTTTGAATATCTTTGAATTGTTTGGACGGGTTCTTCCCCTGCATAAGAACTTGCCAAACTAACAATTTTATTGTCCAACCATTTAACAATAATTACTTTATTTTTTTTATCACACTGGCTAATAAAGGTACCCCGTGGCATCTTACTTAACTTCTTATCATCTATATCACATCCACGCAAATGTTGTTTTCTTAATGTTCCAAGACTATTACAATGTATTTAATTATAATTTTTTTACAATGTTAAAGCTGTTTTAATTAATTATGTATGTTAACTGACAATAAACTACCACTGTTTATCTTGAAGTGTTCTCATACGAATCGATGTGTCACACGACTTTTTTTTTAGTCGGCGACTCGAGCATGAAAAACGCACAAGCCCAAAAACAGTATGACGTATCGATTCGTATGAGAATGTTGCAAAAAATACGACTAACGTGTTTAGTTTTACATTTAAGGTAATGTCCTAAGAATAAATTGAATAAACCAAGATTTTGGAGATAGAAAAAAATTGAAAAAAAAAATCTACTTTGGATCAACACAGTGAGTACGCGTATACTAGTGTCCTCATCCATTCCAGAAACACTCTGTATATATATATACAATCGAACCCGTTTAAGACGCTCTCTAAGGGACCAGTTACAAATAGCGTCTTAAACAGGAAAACGTATTACGGGGAACAAAAAATGTTTATTATATTTTACAATAAATCCATGTTATATACATATAAATTATATTTTTTACTTTGCAGAGTGAATTATTACATTTATATTACCTATTTCAAAAAAAATCGTCTCTTTCATTGTTTCAAAGTTATGATGTTTTTTGAATACAGAAAGTTTTCAATTTTATTAAGATGATGTAATAACGTTTCGTCAGCGTTGTCAAAAAAACGCAATTAATCTTCTTAGTTCATTAACATGATCAAGTGTATTTGTTACTATTTGTTATTATTCGTTATCGTTATTATTAGTTGGGTATTTCTTTAAACTTTATACAATATATATGCATATACAAAATATTTTTATATGAACATCATTGACAAAACAAGCGTATTAACCGGGAACATAGGGGGTATTATCCAGAGTTAATTACATGTTAAATGTTGTCAAAATCAAGGGACTCGTAAAAATGAGTGTATTAGCTGGGAAAACGTCTAAAGCGAGAGCGTCTTAAACGGGTTCTATTGTATATATATATATTAATTTATTGTTTATAGAAATCTATGTTCAGCTTATTATAACTTAATATATACTATAACTATATTACGAAAAGTCGTCGACGATAAACAATTTTACAAATGCATGCGCGTACAATACTTCAGAGCTATGCTTAATTGTTACCGTCTTAATTTTCGTCGATAACAACCCGTTTCCTGAGAAAACCAAATGACCACACAGGGTTGCGATTTGCGTACTGGTACTAGATTATTTTTATTTATAGACAAAGTGATATTCGTCATACATAATTTGTGGGGCCCCATACAAGTGCGGGGCCCGGTGCAATCGTAATGCTCGCCCTCCACTAGAGCCGGCCCTGTGTTATAGATTATTATACCAAAACTAATAACGATTCATGTGCAAAACTATTTCATTTCATCTTCTTCATATTCAAAAAGTTGTAGTTTTAGATGAAACTTTAATGTATTGATTATTAACATGATTATTTTATATTGTCTTATTAAGTAAAGTTGTTTTTCTTTTTTTCAGAATATTAGACTGAAAATCTAACTCACGATGGTGAACAAAATTTTAATCCATTGCACTTACGCAACCGATGTGAAAATCAAAAACATATTATAATAATAGAAACGAGGACAATGGTAATATTATCGACGTGTAAATTGTCGGGAGGCAATAGTCCGAAGTGCAAACGAACTAGTTTCCCCACCGCGACAACAAAGCGATAATTTTCCCTTTCCGCTGCATATAATATGATACGTAAAACGTACACCATACGTAGAAACACGTTATTTACTTGGACACAGAAATAAATTTACATAAATTACCTGGACCGATGCGTGTATGCTTGTGTGAGGAGGAGGGGCAATAGCTAATAAACCGAGCACTTGTGGCATTTCCGTGGTGCTGGGAATACCCATATTCCGACACGGTGGTAACGAATAATTATCATACACGATTTTTCATCACAGATTATTTTAATGACTTGTCTTAGGCGCTTCAACACCCGTTTCACCTGACCTTTCATAACCCGAACCAAGCACACGGAATAATTCGATGCTGTATTGCGTCGAAAGTTTCCTTGACTGTTTTTCAAACTCTACACACTCACAGTAATTCGCAAAAATGGCGGTTCTCCGACACTCTCTCACTCACTCCCTCTCTCTCTCTCTTCGGTGACTGATCGATAATAACGGTAGTCGATAAACGTTGAGCTGTTTACGTGCAGTTGTTTTTGCTCTCATTTCATTCAACAACACAAGTAATTTCACAAAAATTATGTTTGCTAAATTATAAACACAATATGGCACTTAGTAGCTAGTTTTATCGCTTATCAGTGGCTTAGCCAAGGGGGAGGAGGGCTAAGGGGACTATAGCCCCCCCATGGGCCGTGTTTATATGTA